TAAACAGGTGTTACTCAAGGTCGTACAAATTGAGCCTCATCCCAAATGCCCGGTATTTTTACATAAACAAGCGTAGGCACCTCTATGTGGAGGGACACTTGGTAGGCAGGGAAACAATAAGGGGAAGGTCAGTTAGCCACAGGGAAACGCAGTCACGCTCTGTGGTTGGGTGTGAGTGAGGCCCAGAGTCTGTGCCCACATGGGAACAAGTCCAGGAAGAGGAGATTTCAGGCCTTAATGACCATGTGCGTGAGGCCAGGCCTCTGGTGGGCAGAACTAGGGGACCAGAAACTTCTCTGGCCAGAGGATGGAAGGCAGGGGGCTAGGTTAGGCCCCCAGTGCTGTGACTGGACTGGGGACGCCCACCCTCTCCCCACACTGGCCTTAGGGACAAGGCAGGTTCTCCTGAGCCCCTGAGATTAGGACCCGTCCTCTTCCTCTCTCTCCCGCCTCTCCGACCTGATGGAATGGAAGCAACCAGTAGCTGCCACCTAACCAGAGAGTCCATCCGCATGAAGCAATGGCCGGAAAATACCCCATTTCAAATTTTGTTTAGTAATGGAGAAGGAGACAAAGAAGGAAGGAAATTCAAAACAGCGAGAAGGGACAGACAAAGGTCTTCATCCAGATGAGGAACCGCAAGGCTGGGACCCCACCCCAGAGATCAGCAGCTGCACTCTCCCCTCCCTCCAGTGCAAGGCCACCTGCTGAGATGACAGGGGAGCTGCTAAGGACAGAGACACCCCAACTAAAGAAATTGCGTTTTGCCTGACCACCATCTGAGGACCAGGACGCGGCAGGTTGAGAGGCTGACGGTTTTAGAAGCAGACTCGACCACTCCGCCCAGAGCCCAGGCTGTCTGCTGGGAGCCTCGTTAAGCATCTGTTCAGTTGCCCAGGTGCTAGAGACGCAGGCCACACTGTCACAAAAAGCCCAGAAGTTAAGTGGTTTCTGTGTTTTTCCTGAAGAAATGACCAAGATGCCACGGATGGGCATGAACCCCTTGGGAAGATGAATTCCTTTCCTCCCTTGGCCTTCGGCCTCAGGGACCAAATGCCTCCCCTCTGAGTGGATTCCGTTAGTTGTGCATCTTTTGTAGGACGTTCGGGTGTTTAGGGGGATGGCCTGTCTATGAGGCACACTTCAACAGTGCCCTTTGCAGCAGTGGGCACCCAGAGTGAGCCCCCGCGCGTAAGAGTGACCGCAGGCCAGGGCTCGGTGTCTAGGACACCTGGGGTCCCACTCCAGGGTCTTGGCGTGAGGAGGAATTGAGGTCCCAACAGGATCACTCACTCCAAGAACCCCATCATGGGGATCGGGCCAGTGGAATTCCCCCAACAGGTGCAGGTTTCTGTCCTCTGTCTCCCTGGGCGTGGAGAGCAAAAGAGAAAGGAAATGGAAGGGTGCAGGTGCGTAAAGAAGGGAGAGAACCGCAGAATCCACCAGCTTGCGTTACTCTCATTTGCACACACACTTTTTACGGTTGTCCAAGGGGATCTGAACACACCCGAACACACACACTCGGAACCCCACAACACATGCCTACAGTGTGGAACTGACCTGTGAGGCACCTCTTGACCATGTGGCCTGAGCAAAAAATAGAGCCGGGCCAGGGGCGCCTTCCGATTCACGTAGTAAAGGGGGACGAAGGCACCCAGCAGCAGGTCTCCCTCTCTGTGGACACTGGGCTCCAGGTGTCGGAAGCACCTCCACAAATCCAGGGCCCCCGGAGCGTGGGAAGGCGGCAGGAGGAGGAGGAGGACCAGCAGGGACAACGGCATGTCAGGGTCTGCCTCACACAGAGGCCGAGCGGAGGGGGAGACGGGCAGGGTGGGGTCCACAGGCTCAGGCCTTGCAAGGAGGGTGGGTGCCTGGGCAGGGCCCCGTGGAGTCCCACGACTGCTCGATGTCCTCCGCCTGCGAAAGGAGTGTGTGGACGGGCTTGGGGGTCGGGGCATCCGTAGGGTGTCACGGGCCTGAGGCTGCAGCCTTGGCGTCTCTGTGATCTGCAGTCCTGACTCCCAGTCTTCACTGCTCCCCGACCGTGGCTCTGGGGACCCACAGCCCCGGGGCTCTGCACCTGTCCCCCTCCATCCATCCTGCGGAAAAACACTTTGGAAAAACATGTTTTGGACTCTCCTCCTCCTCCGGCCCCTCTGGTCTCAAGACCACCCAGCGAGGCTTCGGGGACCTCAGAGCATCCTGAGACCGCCTTCTCTGTCCTCCTGTGAACGCGGGGCCAGGGGATTAGCAGAGTGAGGAAGCGCTGGCTGGAGCCAAGAAGATGCCTTAGCAAGAAGGGAAGGGCTGACATCCAGGACCCGTGCAACCCTCGGAGGACACCTTCATCCTGCGCTCAACACCGCTCCCAGGTCCACGGTGTGCGCCAGGAAGAAAACGGGTTTCGTGGTTTGCAAAGGAGCAGGCCACGTCCCAGGGAAGCTCCGTGGGTCCCCCGACCCGCCACTGCAGGGTCAAACCTCTCCGCCAGGCGGCTGGGGTGCTGGGCTCTGCCCACGGAGAACCTGACCCTGGGGTCTTGTCATCAAGTAGTTACTCGTCCCGTACCTACTGTTGACACTGTTGAAACATTCCCTACAGAGTTTTCTTATTTGTTTTTTAACTTCAGTAATATTTTTTATTTGTTCTCGTTGTACACGACAGTAGAATGCATTTTGACACATCCTACACAAATGAGGTATAACTTCTCATTCTTGGGGTTGTGCGTGATGTAGAATCACACCCGTCATGTACTCATGGATACACATGGGGTCATAATGACCTGTTCACTTTGAAAAGCTACGAAACACAACGTTCACCGTCTGCAGCGAGATGTTTCAGGGTGTGTAAATGTGGTGGAAGGACAAAATGACAGGTTTTTATTTTTCATTAGTTCATTTTAGACATAGGTAATATTAGGACTCATTTTGCATAACTACACAAGCGTGGGATGCCATTTGATCTAATTCAGTCCCCAGTTGGTTCCCTTTCCCTCCCTCCCCCTCCCTCTTCCCTTCCTCTGCTCGACTGATCTTTCTTTTATTTACTTCTAGTTTCTTTATTTGGTGCATATGGACACCCCTAGCTGAGAGTCACTCTAGTACATTCACATAAGTACACAGGAAGGTTTGGCCAGATTCCTTCCTCCGTCCCTCCCCTCTCCAGCCCCTCCTGCTGCCCCTCAATCCCCTTCCTCTGCTTCACTGATCTCTCTCCCATGTCCATGGGTCCCCACACACATGCCCTTCTCCCTTACTTTGATCTAGCTTCCAAATATGACAGAAAACACTCCATCCTTGACTTCCTGGGTCTGAACTAAAATCAGCACACCATGGTAAACTTCACCCTTACGTTTATCTATAAAGCACTAATTTTTAAAAACTGCAAATAAATAGGAGGCAGACCAGTAGAGTAGTAAAATTATTTTGTTGATTTAGTTTTCCTCGCATTTCACATTATTTTACAATAATTTTTTTCTATTTCTGCAAAATATGCTATGGGATTTTGATAGAGATTTGCTATCTGTAGATTGCTTTAAGTCATGGTGACATATTAGTGATATTAGTCTTCTCATCAATGAACATAATTAGAAGCATTTGGGGGCATGAAATCTTTGAACATTTCCATTTATATGCATCATCTATAATTTGTTGCTGTAAGTTTTGTAGTTTTCAGTGTTTCTGTCTCTACAATTTTGTTGATCATGAAGTGTTTTGTTCTTTTTGGTGCTATTCTAAGTTGTTTTGTTAATTTCCTTCTTGGATTGCTTCTTGTTCTTGCATATATACACAACTTGGGGGGGTCTTTATTTTATTTGCTTATTTTTTTATGTGCTGCTGAGGATCAAACCCAGTGCCTCACACATGCTAGACAAGCACTTCACCACTGAACCACAACTCCAGCCCCACACAAGTGTTTTTGTTTTTGTTTTTTTGTGGTGCTGGAGATGGAACCCAGGGCCTTGTGCATGTGAGGCAAGCACTCTACCCACTGGGCTGTATCCCCAGCCCCACTACTGGTTTTTTGAGTATTGATTTTGACTCCAACATCTTGGCTGAATTTTTTTATTATGGCTGAATAATTCTCCATGCAGGGATAAACAGCACTCCACATTTTATTTATGCCTTCACAAGTCGATAAACCCAGCCATACACCAGGGATGATCTTTAGGTCAATGAAAGTCTGCACACACCCCATCGACTCCAAAGGTGACATCACCTAGTGACATCACATCCGTCTCAGCTTGTGTAAGTACCTCTGTGGTGCTCACACAGGACGAAATCAGTATGACACACTTCTCAGAGCACGTCTTGACAGTTTAGGAGGCTGCACGTCATTTATTCATGGAACAGTGGAGTGAGTACAATGAGTAGCATTAATGGTGACTTTTAACATTTCTACTTGGCCACTCTTCATGTGTCCTGAGGTACACTGCAAACACAAGCCTTTGGTGCAGGTAAAACTGCTACATCAACATGAAAAGAACTTTTGCCATCATGGCACAACTAAAAAGCACACAACATATACTACTTTGGTCTTTAGGTGGATACCCATGGCTGTTCCAAGATCTTATCCACTAGGCTAGCCTGGACACTCATCTGTTTTTTTTAAATTAATGTTTAAAAGAGACTTCTAGAAACACTGTATATTAGTCAGGGTTCTCTACAGGAACAGAATAGCAAGATACAGAGGCTGACTCATAGTGGGGTAGGGAGGGGGAGCATGGGAGGATTAGATGAATTCTAGATAGGGAAGAGGGAAAGGGAGAGGGCAGGGGATTAGCAAGGATGGTGTAATGTGATGGACATCATTATCCAAAGTACATGTATGAAGACTCAAATTGGGTGTCAACCTACTTTATACACAAACAGAGATATGAAATATTGTGGTATATATGTGCAATAAGAATTGTAATGCAGAAAAAAACAAAGTACATGCATAAAGACATGAATTGGTGTGAGCATACTTTATATACAAAGATGTG